CCATCACCCGCGGGCCCGACCCGAGTTGCGCCGAGTCGGCGCCCGTAGCTGCCTGTGGCGCTACCGCCAAGTCGAGGCCTCGACTCTGAGAGGGCCCTCGGGCCGTGCTGTGACGAACCATGGCGGCGAAGGCCGCAAGCTCAGCCCGCCGCACCTGCTATGCCTTGGGGCGGCGCGAGGCTGGGGGCGGGGCGGGGCGGGTGGGGCCGAGCTCTGGCTGCAGGGATGCTGCCTCTCTGGGGACGAGTGGTTGGCGACCACTGCCCTCCTCCCAGCCTGGGACCCTCGTGCCTTAAAATTTTTTACCCTTTTCTAAATACCGTAGTGGCATCTTTCTTACTTTGTCCGTTCTCCGGGCTCGAGAGCGTATTTCCGGAGCCATGTCAGAAGGAGTGGACTTGATTGATATATACGCTGATGAAGAGTTCAACCAGGTAAGAGGAATCAGCAGCAGCTTTGGGGTTTCCTTCATCAGTCTACTGGCAGTGATTTCTCTATCAGCTCAAAATAATTCTCCTTACTATCGAAGCGTTTCCCCCTAGCGGAGGCTTTGAAGACGACTGACCATTTCTTTATGTTAATTTGAACCTCCAAGCTTCAATTTTAAAGGGTTTGCTTTAAGAGCAAATAAAAAGCCAAGTGTAATATAATGATGAATCAGCCTGTGGAATTTGTTTCCCCAAGTCATCCCAAAGTTGAATGACTAACCATAATTAAAACTCAAAATTACATTTGTTGCAGTATTGTGTGGATAATTTTGATACTTGTTACTTTGCTGTTCTCTCAGCTTGGGGCTCCAGAATGTTAGCCCCCTCCCCCTGCTAGTCCCCTCCTAATGGTGCAGACAGTACAAGAGATAACTTTGAGAGACACAGTATAAAATGTACTTTAAAGATAGGGTTCCCGCTTCACTTTTTAAATAGCTGGACTGTGTCTTGAGAAGTCTGGGCAGTTGTGTCTTTTCGATTATTACAATACCAGGAAATTTATACAAATGTCTCTTGAAATAGTAATGTATGCAGTTGAGTTCTGTGATCTTGAAGGCAAAGCTCAACTGATACTTTCTATTTAAAACTTTAATTATCTTACCTGGGTTCTTCATAACAGTTATCCTTAAGCAAACTGGTTCTGACCCATTGGGTACATGGAAGGACCTGGGAAGATTGGGCTAGAGAAGTAAAATGCCTGGCTTGGACCTTGACTTTGATAGGAGCAACAAAGAGGCTCTTGTGCTCCGTTATTTTATTTTCAATAGTGTGGGGGAGGGTATGTGCATGTGATTCCAGGTGCCCAAGGAGCCCAGAAATGTGGGGTCCCCTTGGAGCTGGTGTTAAGGTGGTTGTGACCCGCCTGGTGTGGGTATTAGTAACCAAACTCGGCTTCTCTGGACAAACAGAAAGCGCTTTTAACTACTGAGCCCTCTCCAGTCTTGCCTTCCCGAGTTTTAAGCATTTGTTTGAGTCAGACTTTCACCATTTGAAATTTATGGCTTTGTCATTATTTAACAACTCTCTTAAGTTTTATATTACTAAAATTCTGAATCTGTATTGTTGACTGCTGCTGCAACTCATTCTCTCTGGAGAGTAGAATGCTTGACCACGGGCCATATTTGATTTTAAAAAATTAATAATTGGTTAATCAGTATAATATGACTTGGGGGGGGTCATAAATAAGACATAGTTCTTGTCCGGTGGTCATTGCTTTGTCAAGGTAGACATTATTAACCTCAGTAATTTGTTCCTTAATTAGCTTTTTTTTTTTAAAGGACTTATTGTCCTAAAACCAAAATTAGTGTATGGACTAATTAGTGTGTGGACTCTTAGACAGTTGTACCAAACAGGCAGTGTTTGATACTGGGAAAATTGAGACAAGTATAGATTTTGAATGTTTTATGTTCTAGAAGTAGAGAAGGGTTACCTCATCCCCATAAGTTAATTTTTGACAAAGCTGGTTTTGGTGTAAGCTGGAAGCTGCTAAATGGTTAAAAAGTCTGGGTGGAGTTGTTACAAGTTGGCTTGGGTAGAAGGCAGTCAGTATAAACTGAGTTGTTGAATGTCATAGGACAGTTATTGATTTGCCCCAAGCTAGCCCGCATACAGCTCCCTCAAGAGCACTTTGCTCCCAAAATGAAATTAGCACATTTATTATATGGAACCCTGTATTTGCTTCTGATCTCTGGCAGCATGTACTGCAAAAACCTTTTGCAGAGATACTTTATTGATGTTGCATTGGGAGCCCTGGGATTCACACTACTCTACTGGACAGGGGAAAACTAAAAAGGTGACTGAGAACTGCCTGCCATTCTTAAGTTTTCTTTTCTTCCTCGTGCTGAGATAGGCCTTATAGTATGCTTGGTTCTACATAAGGAAGGATTTGAACTACTACTTCTGTTTCCTGGGCATTGCCAGAGGTAGTAAGTTGTTGGGGGAGTGGGAATCCCTGTGCAGGAAAATTGGTGCCATTCCTAGTGGCTAAAAGTAAAAGTGATATTAGCTGGGTGTGGTGATACACATTCATAATCTGAGTGCTCCAAAGACTGGGGCAATATTGCTACAAATTGAGGCCAGCTTGGCTACAATGTGAAACTGTTAGAATTCTCCCCTTCTCCCAACAACAACAAAAGTTGTAAAATAACAAAGTGGTAGTAACAATGCAGAATAAGGGGCAACAGTGATGGGGGAGAGGTATAAGATGAGAACTGTGGAGATGTGAGCGTGAGGCCTAAAATTGATATGGTCTTCTAATGGAAGAAAAAGTAACCAAGAATCAAAATGGTTGCACTAAAAAAAATGTATTTAAGTTAGTTACTTCATTGGGTCAGATACCAAGAAAGAGATAGAAGATAGGAACATTGAGTATATTAGAAGGCAAACTCAAACTCCTAATAGGACATTTCATGAGATAACTGTGGCTTTGGGTGTGTGTGTGTCCTTGAACACAAAATTCTTGCTGAGATATTTATTCAGTGTTGATTGCATATTTCCAATTTAAACTTCGTAGAATAAAAATTTTTATCATTACCACCTATAAAATGTGGATGTATTTCTTTTATAGGATAGGTGGGTTTTTATTTTGTTTTTTTTTTCAAGAGGGTTTCCGTTAGCCCGGGCTGTCCTGGAACTCACTGTAGACCAGGCTGGTCTCCAACTCAAGAGATCCGTCTGGCTCTGCCCTCTGAGTGCTAGAATTGAAGGCATGTGCTACCATGTCTGGCTACCACTAGCTTTTTTTAAACTGAGGTTTCATGGCTCAGGTAGACCATTGAAACTTGGAACATTCAGATTCATTTGATTTTCTTTCTGAAGTGGTAATCTACAGAAATAAGGTCCTCTAGGATTGAGCCTATTTTGTTCTTTTAGAGATTTTGAAAGAGTTCATTGATTGCCTTTAAGCTAACAGTATGAAAAGATTCCCTCTGATGCGTTTGCTCTACAAGTTGAAATCTTATTGACTCAGTGACTTCTTTTTTTAAATCTAGCCAGTTTTCAGTGATGACATTTGTCTTACAACTTTTAGGTACATCTCTGAATCCCAGATACTGCATAAAAGGAATCCTAGTTTTCTGGCATTGAATATATGAAATATTGTTATTTCCTTATTGTCTTTACGTTTCATTTGAAAATCTCTTTTTCACTTTTAAAAAGCCTTGGTGGGAGGTATAAAGTCTAGTTATTCTTAATATCTTTCAGGGATTGCTCGTAGAATCTCTAACAAAATATTAAGGTACTTAAATCTTAAATAGAAAAAACAAAAACGATTATGTGTATGATGATATAGCCTTTAAACCTGGCTACTGAGGAGGTTGAGGCAAAAAGGGATCACAAGTTCAAGACCAGTCTTAATAACTTAGCCAGACCTTGTCTCAAACTTTAAAGAAAAAATTAAGATATAGTTCAGTGGTAGAGATCTTGCCTAGCATGCTCAGAACACTTGGAAGAGGTATTTTTGCATAGAAAATCTTTATGCATTCTTTCCCTATGCTTTAAAAAAAATCTTCAGATGATGAGAATGATTATTTCACCTTTGCTAAGACAGGCCTTGTCTTTTGCTCAACAAGAGTTTTACGTTGTGGTTTTGAATTTTTTCATTTACTTTTATGCGTGTGGATGTTTTATGCATATGCAAAAAATACGTATTTTTATGCGTATGCCTGTGTGTGTGTTTATACACCATGTACATGCATTGCCTTCAGAGGCCAGGGGAGGGCACTTGATCCCCTGCATCTGGAGTTGTGAGCTGTCAGTAGAGGCTGAGAATCAAACCCAGATCCTCTGGAAGAGTGGCCAGTGTTCTTAACCACTGAGCTATCTCTTCTGCCCCTGTCTTAAAAACGTTTTTAAAGGATGTTTTCAGCTGATATTTAGCTGGCTGAGTCTGTGGATGGAAAACTAACAGTTATGGAGAGTTAAGTGTATTGGCTTCTGAGGATTAGAGCATTGAACAGGATAGAGTCATCAAGTCCTCTTAGGAGGAGGGGATTTTTTTGGGGGGGTGATTTATTTATATTTTTAC